ACGGACTAGATGTTGCTCCAAAAATTTCCCTTATCATACGAAGAGCCTTTGTTTTGGTTCCATTTAATTCACCATCGTTCCATAGAAACTTGACTGCGTTTCTGTCTTCATCAGCAAGAGAAATCTGCAAAAATGCTTGTTCGATGTCAGCTGTAAACGCAATTCCATTTTGACGGAACTTAAGGAGCAATTCCAGGATGTCTGGACACATCTTCGTATCTGAATGTAAACAGTCATTTAATGACAAACGATTCTCCGCATCTGACGAAGCGTCAAAAACCACACGGAGTTTTGCACTTTCCTTCTTTTCTCTTACAAAGGCTTGATGTGGCATAAAATACGTTTTTGGTCCGATTCCAATGTTAGTCCCTTCGGCGATTCCTTCTTTTAAGTACTTAATTACTTCGCGATATCTGTAATAGAACTGTTGATTATTCTGAAATCTACGACTTAAACTCTTAAATCTAATTTTAGCAATGATTCCAGGGAAGGCGAACAATATAACGATTGTTTTCAAATTTCACAGATCTTTTGAAATTATCGAAAACTAAATTATCTTCTAATTCGAGTTCCTTATCTGAATCATAATTTATCCTCATAGAATCGAGCTCCCAGCAAACTAGACAGTGATTCGTTCTGTGTATCTTTATTATTATGAACCACAACCTTCATCGTATTCACATTAGTTGGTGAAATTCCGTAGCCCTTTCTGTTCCCCTAATGGTCCAACCCAATTTTGTTTCAACCGCTACTAAGGAATTGGACAGTCTGTGAACCTTACCCGTAACTATTTTCCAATAAAAATCCGCTCCTATCAGTAAAGAAATTTTTGGCGGTTTATTCCCTTGTCCCCATTCATCGGAAAGTTGTATGCCCTGTTTTTTAATAAGATTAACTATTTCATTTCTAGGGGAATGAATATGTGATCCATTAATGACAGGAATAATTAAAGCTTCTCTTTTGATTTCATATCGATACTTCGAATTACGCAAAATGAGCCTGTTTTTTTTTTTTTTTTTAACATTCTGCGCTTCAGAAGTCGTGCAACCGAAAGAGAATATTTTTATTTTTTCTTCTCCAATAACCGGATATTTTAATTTCTTACAGATGTCCTCCCTAATATATATTCGCTGCGATCCTAAATCAAACAACAAGCGACACTTTGCTGGCGCCAATTGCCTGTGTTTACAATTTCAGCCCGTACTGTCAGAAGAAATGAGTTATTTACTGTTTCGCAATCGGAAACAGAGGAGACTACTGCCCTTTGGACGGGCCTCTTTTCTGATGCGTTCTTTCGTCAGAATGTATGAATGTATGATTTCGTCGATCGCAAATACCACAAGTTAGTTTCGATTTGCAGTTCCTGGCTAAATGAAAGCTTTTGAGACGCATGAAACCGATTCCCCTTCGCTTTAACGTTTCCTTTTTTTCTGGCACAGTCTTTTGACATGATTCTGACGTATGATTTTCAGAACAGAATAAACAACTACTATTAGACAGTGATGTCTTTAACGCGGCCGCTGAAGGAATGTCTCGAAAACGTTCTCGAAACTGCCGCTTATTTTCAAAAATGGGATTTCCTTTCAGTGACTTCAGAATCTGTTGGCTTAACTAAAAATCCTGTACGTTCTCGACTTTCTATTTCTTTTCTTAAAAAATTTAGCAAATTTGTGATTTTTGTCTGGTTTTCATCTTCATATTTCCTATTAAATTCTAGTGCTAAATCATTCGGAATCACCTTTATTAATATCGGATACAATAAGGTACTGTACGAATCCGGTAAATTATTACACGATTCTAATCCTCTAATTTTTACTTCACAACGATCATATAATTTTCGAAGTCCTGTCACATCGCAAGACCTTTTAACCGGAGTCAAGAGTTAATAAATTGTTGACGTGAGTATCTATTATTAGTTCTTTGCGTCCGAAGCGATCTTTTAATATTTTCACAGCCTTCTAGTAATTCTCCGCTGTTAATGTCAACCCTTGTATTGCAGTTTCTGCATCGGAAGTAAGAATTAGTAAGAATTGACTTTAAATAGTTAAATTTATCTACTGCATGTAGACTTTCGTTTTCGTGTACAGCTGTCTCAAATCGTGCCCAAAACCCGGGCCAACTGCACACATCCTTTCCCGAAAACGTTTCCAGTGGGAGTTTAATTTTGTTTTGCGATTCAGTGATAGTTCCACATGAAGTAGAATTAGCGCTATGTTGATTAGTGTGTAAATATCTTTTCGCGCGTAATTTCCAAACAATAATTTTACTTTTATACTCTTCTCTAGACATTATTTCATCTTCTAAATTTGTTACATCAATTAAAGTTTCAATACCATTATCCGCTAAGATTAGTTCTTCTTCTTTAATTAACTGAGCAACCGTTTCTTCAATTACATTTTTATCCCCCTCATTAGCAATTTCTGTTTCTATCTTATTTATCAGTCTCGTAACTACTGCTCTTATAGCAGATCGTTTCTTTTTTAATTTTTCTAAATCCATGTTTTTGCTTAAAGCAAAATCTATTAAAATTTCAGTTCAAATTCTACCTAGTGGCCCCACATTGGGCGCCACAATATTGTTATTTATTTTCCTTATCGTTATCGTTACTTCTAACTAATTAATCAAGGTAAAACGAAACTGCTTACCTTGTCCCAATGGGTTCTGCCAGGGCCACTGGTTGAATTCTCGTCTGTGCATCTCTATCTGCAAAATCTTGAAGGGAATAATCCATAAATGATAAATACTTTCTTTACACAAACATATTTAATGAAGACGCAACGGGTTACAGAATATTTACATAATGAAAAGTGTTTATATCTGGCACGACGCAGCGTGCGACTTCTCCGTTCCGAGTTCTCGTGCAATCTCTAAGCGAGAGTTCATACTTCGAGATGACGTCACTCAGCCATCGGATCTCAGCAAGAGTTGAGTTGCAACAATGTTCCATAAGATCGGCTTTGAACTGTAAACCTTGAGGGTAACCCTTACGATATGATTTTGAATGTAAGAATTATTTGACGTGTTTTAAGAAAACTGTTTATAAACAAAAACTATTTCTTTGACACTTAAGTTCATGTAGGGCAATAGGCTAACATACACTGCTCAAAGCACTTTCGAAATCAAGTAAATCATAGCAGTCTACTTTGTTTTCTTATATTTATTAATAAGTCATCTAACTTCCTAGTTATGCTTAGCCCCCCATTGAAACATATTGTTTTGCATTGCGTATTTAGAAAAAAAGAAGTACAAACTATTTTTTCATCATTTTATCTGTAACTTTGCCCTAACTGGACAGAAGCCAAATAAAACGTAGTAATACTGGATGTTGCTTGTTCTCTTCGTTCTTTATTCAGAGTCAATTCTTTTTGCACAAACTCATCCATTTCTTCGCTACATCGGCGGAGCACCTCGCCAGAATTGATTTTACATTTAACGCCTTAGAGCAGCGGTTTTCAACCTTTTGACTAACGCGTACCATCTAAACAAAAATTGTAAACCTTTAGTACCACCACTACAATACTACTACCACCACCACTCTTGAACAAAGCTCAGATCGCATAAATATACGAGTATTAGAGAAATAACGCAATCAGGATGTGGAGTTTTAATTTTTGAATTTAATAGTTAAAAATACTTTGCTTCTTTGCGTACCATCTATTTTTCTCTTGCGTACCAACAGTAATACGCAAGGTTACCACAGGTTGAGAACCCCTGTCTTAGACCGTAATTCCAAATTCTGGGTTAACCTTCCAGCACGCGCGTATGTGCGAAATTTACGACAAATTCAGTTTTTAATGCACATTTTTCGCATATCGAAGCTGAGCCGTCTGAATGTCATTTCTATTCCTCCTTTCTACCCTTCCCCACATCGTAGAATATGCCAATAGGAAGTTATTTGACTTTTTTCTTTTTAACTTGGCTTTTGTGCTACGTGGCAGCTTTTAGGTAAATGTTACGACACGCGCGTGGTCGTGTTCTAAAATTCGGAAAACATTTTTGCTCAAATATTTTGTAATTTTGTGTTATTAATTGAAGTGTATTGTTTTAATTGGATACATTTGCCTCTGTAAATTTTATATCAGTTTTCATGGAGGAAAAAAAAAAAAAAAATGTGCAACCAGCTGATTTTGCTCGGATTCTTCAAGAATTATCTTATGAAGAAAAGGAAGACAAGGAAACCTTTGGATGGGAGAAAAATAGCGATTTTCTTTTCTTATTTTTCTTTTATTTCTATTTTTTAGAAATTAAGAAAAACATTAATGTTAGTTAAAATTGTGTTTTTGTAATCAGTAAAAAGTACATTTCCTTGCAGAAGTAAGCAAAGCTAAACTTACTTTTTTTTTCCTGCCAAAGTGTTTTCCTTTTTTATTCTCTATACTTGTCTTTGATGAATATTAAAATTAGCTTCGATTTTAAAATATAATTATTAAATAATAAATATAAAATTTTCTATAATAAAATACATCATTGCATTTCCATCTCACTAACATAAGAACTTAAAAACAATTTACTTATATTTGAATGTGATATCATTTGTATTTTGCAATAATAAGCTTAATATTTTTTTCTTAATAAATTTATTATGAATATTTACTCATTTCTGTCGTTTTTCGTTTCAAAACGGTAAAATAACGGATGTCGTAAAAAATACGAAGCGCGCGTGCTGGAAGGTTAAAGCATATTTATTCTTTATAACCATAGAACCACCATGGTCTACGTAAATTGCATCGGCGTGATATAAGCTGACTGTTCTGATCTTCAGTAGCTATTCATTGTTGATGAATTTTTCCATGTTAATTGTGAAAATAATTTCAAACAGGTAAACACGAAACCAGTTTTACACAAGTTTCATTATTTAAAGGTTTTATTATGAATATTATTAAATGAGGAAAACAATTTTACGTTTTTAAATTTGCTGCGCAAAGTTGAACTTAAATTATCAGGATTAAACAAAGTAGTTAGATATGTTTTTGCTCAAAATATTTTATTTTTTTCCGCAGCTATGCTGGATCGTGGAACCTACGGGCTGGATTAAGAAGAGAGAAAATTACTCAATATTCTTATTTCCCCCATCTAATAAGTAAGTATTTAAAAACCCTTTTCCCTTTAATCTAGAATGTACAGCCTACAATTCTTTAAAAGAGTCAAATTTCATTCTTACTATTCCGGCCAGCTTCGCTTCTCTAAATTTTCATGTTACATATACATAAAAATACAAAAATTTCACATATAATTGCACTTAAGTCATCTATCTGTGTACAAAATTCGAAACAATATATTTACAGGGATGTGCTCAGTGCTGGAAGGAAATTTGTTTTCTATATTTCGGGTGGAACAGCCTGTCGTATAAAACTGAATGCAATTACTCATCCTATGTTGTTAATCATCCTATGTTGCTCTTGACATATGAGGAGATGTAGAATGCTTAATTTTCTGTTAAAATGATGGCGGCACATCGTACAGTTGTGTTTCATATATTTCACTTCTCTTATGATACTTACAAGTGATATTAAAATCTTATACAGCCTATCTGAATACAGAAATTAAGATCTTTACCATTTTCAAGTTTTTCCGCAACATAACCAAATTATTTTATGTTTAGTATAGCATATTATAGTGAAAGTGCAACGGATACAATATGTCATAACTCTTATTTTTATTTTCTAGAATAGAGCACTTAATTTTTTTCCACGTAATAACCTCACTACTAAACAGTAGAATAAACTTAATACCTTAAATTTTGAAAACTCTAACTTCGCCGTGAAGTAACGCCAGGTAAAATTCGGTTATAGAATTTCAGAGCTTCGTTGCCTCCCCTTCCCTTATTTTTTTTAACTTCGGAATAAAACCTTAGTTCTGATTTGATCAAAACCTGTAGAATAACTTGTCTATTATCGTCGGCACTGAAAATGCATTTGTGCTTATGTGCACAATATTCAGACATCTCATAATCTAAGCAATGTAGTGCATTCAAATATATATGTGTATTTATTATGCTGGAATATGTAAATACTATCTGTCTTAGTATCCATATTTTTGGTAAGATATCTTAAACTGCCTGAATATGTTGCATACATACAGAAAAGCTTGTAAAAAAGCTATGCTTTCTTTTTGCTCACTTATAGAACGTAGGGGGGAACTATTAATGTTAATGGTTTATCGTCATGCCATTAGAAAGCTGAGATCGAAATGGCCTTGAAAGATATGAAGAAAATGGAGACTTGTTAAACATTACTTCTACCGGTAATCCAAAAACGCTTAGCAGATGTAGTAATAAAGGTATCCATTCCTTACTTTAACTAAGTTTCAAATCTTAAGTCATAAACTTTTACTGAAGTAAATATTGATATTTTTATCGAACGATTGAAATAAATATTCATTTATAGCAGATAATATTATTTACAATTGTTTTGATCTCCGGAAAATGCTTGAAAATAGTTCGTGGGTTACACGTTATACTTGTGTTCATTAACTATTTCTCTTCAGTCTGATCTTGAATTCTTCTTCCACCACACAACATAAAGTTCCTTTAAGTAAAAAATGCTAAATGTTTTGAAATTCGATGTTATTGTTTTTGAAGTTGGACTTGTATTAATCGTTATAGCTTGATTTAGATATTTTGAAATTCAGCGGAATCATTAAATGATAGGAGATTAAATTCTGACATATATATTAAATACTGGAAATTAAGATTGACATAAATTAAATTTGTCATAAAACTCAAATTATGATGTTATGCTTTAAAATTTGTTTTAAATTAAAATTTGGAAAGATTAAAATTTAAATTATAATATATTAAAATTTAAATTAACAATGCTTTAGTTCAAAATGTATGTTAAAAGTCATTTTTAGCATAGTCTGTTAGCAATATAAAATAAAATTTTCACGGAGTAGAATATAACAGAATGTGGTAGTAAAATGCTCACAACTATTTTAACAAAATGATTATGACATCAGAATAAGATTCTAATGGACAGTGTTCAGACTGTTGTTCGTTGGCTTACGACGGGGAAACTTGAATGGCCAAAACTGTAGAATGGCTATATCTCAAACGACGTGTATAGATTGCGGAGATAATTCCGAAGGATTAACAGATGCCTGTGATCACTGGTCTCAATGCAAGTACTAAATGGATGGCTGTAATTATTCAATGTAATATAAGCACGGTAGAATATTGAAATCTTATTGTCTGGAACTACAGTAAGCAGAACCAACTGTCGGTAAAACATGTGGCATTTGTGCAAAGTAGCTAATCTGAAAGAAAGTAGAATTGACCTTGACTGTGCTATTATTGCATAGTTAATTAGAAAGAAGGCGGCAAAATATGCTTTTGCATAGCATGGCAAAACTCTTAAGGCCAGTCTTAGCTGTAAGCCCTAATAACAACTGCATTGCACTTATTGTTGTTCCACAGGACAGTGCTCAAAACGTTTTCTTAATAGCAGTTATACAGTTCATTCTATTACAGCATATATGGAAATAAAAGACTAATTATTGACTCATGAGTATATGACTAAAAGTTCAGAAGACAGTAATTATTATTCTGTTAGTAGATGAATCATGCAATGCTGGGCAAAATCAATCTTGACGTATCTACGCAGGACGATAAACTGGCATACTTTGCCAGTAACTATGAATAAAACTATGAATACTTAATTTCTTTATTCTTATAGGTAAATGTAACGACTATCGTTAAGAAATGTCTGTTTCTGTGAGTAATTTCTCCCAAAACTGAAAATAAAGAGGAAGTTTACTTCCCATTCATATTTTTCCTATTTTCTTCCATAGGTTTCGTCAGATATGTAATACATTCGCCTCCAAGAAAGGTTTCGATTATGGAGTTCTATTTTTCATATCCTTAAATTGCATCACTCTCGCTATGGAGAGACCAACGATACCACCAGGCAGTTTGGAAAGAAATATCTTAACAGCAGCAAATTACATGTTCACTGTCGTCTTTGCCATTGAGATGTTTATTAAGGTACTGTAAATATTACATTATATGTTCTTTCTAATGCTATACTATTTTCAAATCACATAGTTTCATAATTATATCTCGAATCAGCAATATAATTGGATTTCATTAGATTAATTTTATAAGCCGCACTTGTACACAGGCATTAGTTCTCTCCTGAGAACGACTGTAGTCTATATTGTTACCCCCTATTAAAAAAAAGGCCGAAGAATAAGGATACTAAAAGTAAGCAATAAAATTCGGCGTAGCGTGCATGTATTTGCAAAATTACAGTTTCAAACGTTAAATAGAACTTCATTCTTCATCTTCAGAAGTGAAAATGTTGAATAATTCCAATGAATTTTAATAGTCTGATACTATCTAAAAATCTGGTGTAATATATAGTTCACCTTGATATAATAATAATCAATCTTAATAATCTGGTTAATAATCCCTGTTCTAATCTTTTTTTACCTTAGTTTTTCAAGGAATTATTTTCTTTTTGTTTTTCGTTTAGTTTAGTTTTTTTTTTTTTTTTTTTTTTTTTTTTTTTTTTTGTTTGTTTGTTTGTTTGTTTGCTTGTTAGACGGAACAAGGAGCTTTGTTTTTGCCGTCCTCTAGCTGGAAGCTTCTCGAATTTTTTGTCCGTTATTATCCGGTAAATACATTTCTCTGTAGTCATTTTCAGTTCTGCAGCTGAACAATGAGATTCTATTTAACCTTCGAAACACTATTCGTGTAAATTTATGTATGTTATTTAAATTATTGTTGCTAACGTTTAGAATCTCTAAACTATGTAGTCTATAATATTCTGATGGATGTAGTTTTCAACACAATCTACGTCTAAAAAAGAGATGGAAAAATCGTAAAATAATGTTAGGAAGTTTCACACTATTATAAAAGCAGAATAGCCAAGAATGGTGCTGATCACACTGAAATTATGGGTTTGCTTAAACAGTACGTTCTTTTAAATTTTGTGCACGATCTCAGGTATAGTTACTGCTTTATGCGTGATTTTCTCAGCGTGATTGAAGATTGCACTGAAACATTGGTGAAGAATTCCACCTCGCCGAATTCTGAAGCACAAACATCTTCTCCAATATACACTGGTGTGCAAAAATTAAGGACGAAGTCGAAAAATTAGCATATCAGCTGAACGAAGAGGCAGAGCGGACAGAAAGACCAATCAGGAGATTAAGTAAGGTGATGTACGGTAGCACATGCGCAGATATGCAGGTAGACGTAATGGGGGAGTGTCTGAGTAGTATAAAGCATGTTGTCGGTGTAAGATCAGTATTTCTGGCAAAGAGATTGCAAATTATAATCGAGTTGCTGCCTCAGCGAGAAATGGCGAATAATCAATCTGTTAGACGACATCTGGATGCTTTTACCCGAGGTCGAATCATTGGGAAGTTGGAGGAAGGCCGCAGTGTGACAAATGTGGCTGCAGAGTTCGGAATTGCTCACAGCATCGTTTCACGACTTTGGAGACAATTTCAAACTACAGGAACAGCTATCCGGGGGTTTAGTAGTGGTCGTCCACGAGGAACCACACCCGCAGATGACCGCTATATTGCCTTACAGGCCAGAAGAAACAGGCGGCAGACAGCGGGAGAAATCGCTAGACACACGGCACAGGCGACTGGACGACCGATATCGCGTTTTACCGTGGCCAGAAGACTGCACGGTGGTGGTCTGTTTGCACGACGCCCTGTACGGTGTGTACCTCTAACGCCTGCCCATCGGAGAAGGCGTTCTCTGTGGTGCCGGGAACACCGGAATTGGAGAGACAATGAATGGGAACGAGCACTCTTTACAGATGAGAGCAGATTCAGTCTGAGTAGCGATTCTCATCGCATACTCATCTGGAGAGAGCGGGAAAGCCGCAATCATTCCTCGAACATCGTTGAAAGGGACAGGTATGGAGGTGGCGGTGTTCTCGTTTGAGGAGGCATCATGCTTGGTAGTCGTACAGACCTTCACATCTTCGAGGCAGGTTCAGTCAACGGGACCCGTTATTGTAACGAGATTCTTCTTCCATATGTGCGTCTTTTTAGAGGTGCTATGGGTCCGCAGTTCCTTTTCATGGACGACAATGCACCATGTCATCGCACAGTAGCTGCCGAACAGCTCTTAGAGAGTGAGGATATTGAACGTATGGATTGGCCGGCACGATCTCCGGATCTCAATCCCATCGAGCATGTATGGGATTTTCTAGGCAGACGCTTTGGCAGCTCGTACCTTACCACCAGTAACGACTCCGGAGCTTCGATTGGCGCTGCAAGACGAATGGGCAGCAATGCCTCAACAACTCATTGACACCCTCATTCTCAGCATGGGCAGACGCTGTGAAATCTGCCTAGCAGTCAGGGGAGATCATATCCCCTATTAAAGACCGGATGTTTCTTGCTGGACACCCATCACAGGGATGTTTCGGCCTTCAGTCGCATTACGCTCCATGGGTCGTTTTTAATAAAGCTTCTTTTTATCGCTCTGATTTCTCTTTTAGTAAGTGTTGCTTACATTACTCATGTCCTTACGTATTGGGGATCTTACGGTATTAAATGTGTTGATTTGGAAAGCTTTTGTACAAAGTTATATTGAAAAAACCGTCTCGTCCTTAATTTTTGCACACCAGTGTAGAGTAGCCATATTGTATTTAGTATCTAACTTTCTTTTTCGGAAAATATATCGAGGAAAGGCAGAAAAATATTTAAGTGTATTATTTTTATAATTTTATATTAGTTGTTTACTGTATATGCCATTCTGAATGAATTAAGAGCTTTTTGATAGTTAAAATTCTTGAGTTTTTTTGTCGTCGTTTAAAACGAAAATAAGTAATTAAAAGAAGAAAAAGAATTTAAAGTTTTGCGTATTAATACATCTGTACTGATACAGTAATTGATCTGTTAGGTGATTGCGAAGGGTCTGTGGTACGGAGACCGAGCGTACTTCAAGAGTGGATGGAATGTAATGGACGGATCTCTGGTGATCATTTCCCTGGTTGATTTCTGTCTCTCTTTCATCGCTGACGGTAGCCCTCGGATATTTGGTATTTTGAGGGTTTTCCGTCTTCTGCGCTCATTGAGGCCGCTCAGGTAAGTCTCTTTTTTCCCCTTCTTCAAAGATGAATTAAAATGTATTAGCAACGAAATTTTAAAAAGATTGCACGAAGGAATGCTTCGATATTTTTCCTAAATTATGCAATATCCATGCAAATGGATACTGCATCATACCTTTCATCTTACACTGTAAAATGTAGCTGTTGCAGTAAAACCTTAGCATATTTTTAACTTTTTCCTTTTCTCAGTTTTCTATGTTACGGCATAATAATCATTATATATCATATTGTAAATCTATATCTTTCGAATTTCTTAAAACTTAACAAATACTATCTAGTTCTCAGACTTACCATTACCAGTAAGATGAGAATATAATGCATCAATATAATACTTAAAAATCTATATGTTCTAATTCTGATTCATGTATGCTTTTTAACTATGAATAACCTTTTTTTTATTTCCAGAGTCATCAACAGAGCTCCTGGACTAAAACTTGTAGTCCAGACTTTGTTATCCTCGCTTCGACCCATCGGAAACATCGTTCTCATTTGCTGTACATTCTTTATCATCTTTGGCATTTTGGGCGTTCAGGTAATTTTTATTTCAACTTCAGTAACACTAGTAACAACATGTGAAAGTAAAATTCAGAGTATTTTAGCTCTATTAATTTTTATGTCATTTACACAATATATGACATACTGTATGACTATGCATATTCTCAATGTGGTATAAGTTGTAGAGTTTAGCAGGTTCACTTCTGTGTGAAAACTGAGATAGTAGTAACGGCACAAGAAAAGGTTAAAAGTACCCTTTATTACCTAAAATTTACAATGCGTCAACTCGACGCTAACAAACTATGCCTTTGCTTGGGCGGTAGCTGAAAATCAGATAACGAAACTAAAAGTTTGAAGATATTAACAAGTGATAGAACTAAATTACAGGGCTCAGATAGATCCCGTTTTTTAAACCCCTTTCGAAACTAGTGGCAGCAAGTAAATGAAATTAAGCTACGTGAACCAGCGGTAAGCAAACGTTTTAAACAGCAGAGATGGCGGCTGTAGCCTAACTCTCCTCTTTGTTATCGCAACTCGATTTTCAAACTCTCTCTGCAAAGTAGAATTTGCATTCCGTCACGTGCGCTACCAAATTTAAATATTCTGGCACTGACCATTAGGAGAATGAAGGCTTATAGGAAAGAATAGCAACTTAAATAAAATTGGTTATTTTAAATATATAAATCCCTACAAAATATGCAATTGTATGTAATATCAACAATTCATCTGTTCCTTTCTAAAAAATACTGGCAAGCTGTATGTCCTAAGTTAACATGCGCAATTGTACTAAAGCTGCGGTAAAATGTTAAGATAAGACCACAGCAAACAAATCCAGAAAATTAAAAAGAGAGTAAATCTTACATTTCAAATGATCAATCGGATATTTTAAGAGTAAGAAGGTTAAAGTGAATGCCTTATAAGAATTCATCACATGAACCGGGGATTAATAGTAATTTGCATCTACGAACGATAACTGTAATAATTTGTAATATGTTCAGTTCGAGACTCTCTGTTGTGCATACGTATGACAGTAAGTAAAATGGTGTTCAAAATTCGGAATATTTACCTATTTCATAGATTATCTCCAGAACTGATGAACGCATTTAAATGAAATAGGTTGATATAACATAATAAATGGACCATAAAGACACTCGTTATGCACATATAATGCCCTGCATAAGGCCGCTCAGTGCAAGAAGATCTAAAACAGAAGCTGGAAGATCGAACGAAAATGACAGCTGATAACGGGGTATAATCCATTTAAAAGTGAAAAAAAAATTATTCCTTTTAAGAAATTTCAAACTGCAAACATTCTTGGAATCCATATTGCAATCAAAGACGGAAGGCTATCAACGTGATGAACGAGCTTAAGCAAACCATAAAAAAATTTCAATATAAATTTTTATGATATGTTTAAATCTATGTGAATATTGTCAAGAAAAACAAAACATTCCCCTACCGCACCCCCAAGAAGTATCATGCTAAACCAATTAAAGAAAGAAATTTGATTGAAGACCCACAGAGGAAAACCATTTATGCATATTCACAGGAATTTTGGAGAAAATGAAATTTTAGTTTGTGTAACAATTGTGATAAAGAAAATATTCTTATAAAATCATACAAAAAATTTGTAATAAACTTTCAACCTTCATTTAAGGAAATTTGTATTATAAACAAAAAAAGTACATAAAATAGGGGAAAAGTTAATTTTTTTCTCAAATTCTTTTCCCCCAGTGTCTTCTGTTAATGATGGAAACGCAAATGTTTTTCGCTGTCGTAATTGTCTCTTCTTAAAATGAAGTTTTTTTCCGTCATTTTACTTTTAGATCTTGAATCAGTTTTGCTTTTGCGTGTCCTTCAGCAAGTTTTCAAACTAATAGCAAGCATATCAGTCTCTGCCTTAAAGCTACCACAAGTGTCCTTTCTTGGGTAACTGAATCCGATGTTGAAGTTAGAATTAAAAATGTCTGAATTGAAGTTAGAATAAATTTATCATACGATATTGGCTTGTTCGTTTTGTAAATTAGTGTAATTATGTAATGTTTACGTTTTCCGGCAGGTATATATACTGTTTTTTAAGAAAAAATGAGATTTTTTTTTTCTCCCCATGGGAAAGCTGATAAACTTTGACGAATATTTTCCTCAGGATCTGCATGTTGCCCTCTGAGATCTCTCGTTGCTTTACTCTCAATGGCAAAATATTCTTTTAATTTTTTTATTTAAGGTTTTTGTAATGCTGTGTAATGAAGCAAAGGCTTTTGTGTAGACTTGGACATGATAACATTGTACGTCTTCGAAACAACAAGCTTGATATGAGTAAGACGCATTTTGTGAAGATCCCACAATGCCCAAACGAGAACGTCGGCGCATCACAGGCAAAAGCGTTATAAAACCGGTTAAATTAGATTTTGAGTTTTGTAATTTTTAATTTCATTAAAAGCTTTGAGAATTCGTTGTTTTTCACTATGTCACAAAGCAAAAAAAAAAAAAAAAAAAAAAAAAAAAAAAAAAAAAACATTGAATGCGTTTGCACTTTTGGTCAGGTCCTAACTCTCGTGTGGTTGCTCTTAAAACTTTCATAAAATCAAGGATTCTCCCTCTCCTTGGCGCGTTTTCGTGGTTTTCTCCATGTGTAACGTGTATATGAGCCAATTTACACTCATGTCCATAAATTAAGGATAATTCGGAGTCACGCGGAAATCGAACTCTAAAATAAATATATCACCTGTAAAATCACTATACACATCTTCAAGAATTATATGGAAATTTCAGGAAGTAACCAGATGTCACCGATGGTACGTCACAATGACGAGAGTGTAAGAGAGTGATATATAAAGAATACAGGCAAAGAAGTAAAATTGTTCGCAGGCGCTTTATAAGCATTTCAGTGCAATAACCGAATAGTTATGACACAAAGGACGCATTTGGAAAATTTTTTACTTGTTAGAATTATCGGCCGTCTGGAATGTGGGCGTACCCAACTGGAAGTATCAGACGAACTTGGAATTGCCCAGAGTGTCATCTCCAGGCTTTGGCAACGATTCCAAGATGATGGTAATGTGAGTAGACGTTACACCAGAGGTCGCCCCAGAGTTACAACGCCGAATGAGGACCGGTGTTTGGCAGCTACTGCCAAAAGAAACAGGCGGAGCACAGCCTCAGACCTGTCTCGTCAGCTCTCTTCAGCCACTGGTACGAGAATTTCAAGGCAGACCGTGTACAGACGCTTAGGGCAGATTGGTCTGTATGCTCGTAGACCTTCAGATGCGTTCCACTTACTGCAACTCACTGTCGCCTGCGGTTAACCTGGAGTAGAGAGCATGCATTGTGGACACAGCAACAGTGGGCTTGTGTGATGTTTTCTGACGAGTCCAGGTTTAGCTTGCAGTCTGATTCTCGCCGGACTTTCATATGGAGAGCTCCAGGTACCCGTTACCACCAAGAAAACATCATTGAACGACACCGTTACGGTGGTACAGGAGTGCTTGTTTGGGGTGGCATTATTCTGGGTTCCAGAACAGACCTGCATCTTCAAATTTTAACCATGACAAGCCAAATCTATCAGGACGTCATTCTGAAACAACATGTACGTTTGTTTCGGGGCGCCATGGGCGCACAATCTGTGTTTATGGATGACAACGCCCGTCCTCATCGTGCAAACATCATAAGCGAATGCCTTCAATCGGAGGATATCACCCGTATGGACTGGCCAGCATTCTCACCGGACTTGAATCCAGTAGAGCACGTGTAGGACATGCTTGACCGATGAGTTGCAGTCATGGACCTTATAAGAAATAGACTAACTTAGTGGGCGGGGCGTGCGTCACACACATGTCGGGAAGAGAGAGTAGGGACGATTTAGTTTATCGTAAGATTGAAACATATGGCGTTTGTATCACATAATTCTTTTTAATTATTAAATGTGATACGTTGTATAAATGATGAGATATTAAAAATCACAGTTTTTGCTAATAAAATTTTATGTATCTCATGAAACCACTTTTTAGTGCATTTTGAGTATTTTTTTTTACTGCATTTTGAGCATAAGCGTAATTCTTGTCTAAACATCATTACTTTGATAAAACGGTAAAAACTCTAAACAAAAAATTTATGAATTTACTTTTGCCTACAAATAAAGTAAAATTAAGTAAGATTGATAGTACATGATGCTATGAAACAAATAAGGTAAAATTAAACAAGATTTGGTAATTTTTTTTAAATTTTATGAACATTTTCAGGCAGTAGTAGCAAATATTTATTATTTCAAATGTTTATAGAAACCAAGGATTGTTGTTTTATTATTTTTTCTGTTTTCAAAATTATTATGGTATTAAAAGATGATCATTTATGACAATATTAATAACTCATAAAATTCGGAGCATAAACTTTTCTGAGTGTAATGAAAAATTAAAAAAAAAAGTCTTATGCGGAACTAGAAATAAAATTTTTAAAAAATAATTACTATAAAATACAAGATATTATATGTCCAATCTTAAATTTTTATTAATGCGCCTAAAGTAACGTTGTAATTTTATATGCCTGTAAATACTTTAAACAGAATGACTATACATCCATAAATACATATGTATGAAAGTAAACAATTTAGGATATTTGTTGCATGCATTGAAAAATTCGCTTACTTCACTTTTTATTTCAAATATTTGTGAAAACAAGATTATATCTATTTATCTATTAATGTAAATACACACACCTACATATATATATTTAGAGAGAGAGAGAGGAAGAGAAACAGATAATATGGTTTATTGATGCTTAAATAAAATTAATTTAGTAAATCTGCTTCGAATATTTTCTCTTTGTTTAGATGCATTGTAACATGCAACTGCATGATGCACTCTTATTTTTAAATATTGAAACATCACTGCTTTAATTAATTTAATCAGGTGTTTTTTATCTGGCTCATCATCATAAATATGGTCTTGAAGAGAAGGAAATATATGTGTTCCTACGTTTTTTAAGACTTTTAGAGTCAGGAAATTTATAATATTTTTTTATTCAATTTAAACTCCTTTTCAG